AATTTGTATTCAAACAAAGGCGCAATAATGATGAGCAAGTATCCCAGGTCCGGACAGCTCAAAATGAGGACAAAGGGGGTCAGCAAGCAATCACAAAGGAAGGACATACTCACACCAAAAAGAAAAAGGTACAAGCAATACTAGATGAACACAGAAAGTTTCAAGAAAAATGGACGGAAGAATATATCTTTATGTTTCGAGGTACAAATCCACTTTTTTTAATTTGTCAGCAGACATGCTCTGGTTTTAAACGTGGCAACCTGGTATCGACATTTCAGAACTTTAACCATATGTACCCGCCGGACTGCTACTTGAGAAAAAACAAAATCGAGCAACATTATGCTTTGATCACAGGATGGCGAAAATTTATTCACAGGTCGACATCGGGCAGTGAAAGTTTGCCAGACTCAACATTTGAGATTGCATGGATTTTAGCTAGGAATAAGAAGGCCTTTACTGATACAGAAATACTTAGTGTTTTTTGTCCTCAGCAGAAATAATATACGCCGATTTCAGTAACAAAGATGCATCCCTAAAGCAAATAAGAGGACTACAACTATCAGACACAACCATAATGAGAAGGATTAAAGATATTGGTAATGACATTCGAGAAACACATGTTTGTGTGATGTCGTTCAGATATGGGTATGAGTCCGGTTTCCGAAACAAGATTTATTTCGGGAAGAACTCCTATGTGTATTACCACTTCAAGGCCAAACGAGAGGAGAGTATATTCTAAATACACCTCTAGCCTTTTTTTTTTAGAATAAACTGAATTGGTTAAATCTGGCATCTGTATATGCACTGATGGCGCCCCTTACATGATAGGAAAAGATACAGGATTTGTGGGCTTAATGAGGAAGAGAGAGAAGGTTCCCTACTCTGCTAGTTTTCATTGCATCAGACACCATGAGGAGGCACTTTCGGCGAATTTCAAAAACTGTGAGTTGCACCGCAAATGGTCGTACGAGTGGTTAACTTTGTTGCGCGAGCACTGAATCGTCATTACTTTTCCAAACTGCTGGAAGAGTAGGAAACAGAGTAAGGCGACTTTGTGATACACAACGAAGTGAGGCGGTTATCTGGTGGCAGAGTACTTGAGCGAGCTTTAAGTCTTCTTCCTCAAATTCGTGAATTTCTTACAAGCAAAGGAAAAAGGAGCCAGACTTGGAGAATACGGAGTGGATAATTAAGCTTGCTTTTTTGACTGATATAACCTATCACCTAAATGCTGTAAATCTACATCTGTAGGGGAAAGAGAAACATTCAGGTGCCATGCTGCGTGTAGTCACTGCATTCTAAAACAAAATCACAACACTGTTCATACCTGACAGACAATTTATTCAGTTTCCAAAGATGAAAACGGCCACCAGTATTGGACCCGAACTTCAACAAAATTTCAACTGCGATTCATTTGTGGAAGTATTGGGGCAGTTAAGGGAAGAATTCGCATCAAGATTCAAGGATGTAATGGAGTACAAGGAGTTTTTTAATTTTGAGAATCCCTTTTACGTTCCAGTGTTGCCTCTGACTCCCGTCATCACTGACGTCTACCATGACAGTGCTGTAGTGGAATGCGAGTGTGTTGAGTTGCAGACAAACGACTCCTTGAAAGCTAAACTCAAAACTGGTGTCTATTACTTTTGGAACATAGTCCCTGACACAGGTTACCCAGCTTTGAAACAGTTTATACAAAAGGCAATGTCCTTTTTGCCAGTACATACACATGTGAATCAACATTCTCAACAATAAACAGTGTGAAGAGAACACAAAGAAACAGACTCACCATTGCATATCTACTGTACACAGCCTTACAAGGAGAGAAATGACGAATTACAAGTTTTGTATGAGGAAGGTAAAGCAGCAGGTGGCACACTATCGCGCATCCAATAACGTCTGCTTATTAATATTAATGGTTTGACCAATTGCTTTACTTGATTCTGATATGATTGAATAAAATTGTAGGAACAGACAATATCACTTTATTTAAGAACAACATTTGGGGTATATACATTAATTTGAGGTAGGTGCGGTTCCCATGCAATAATTAGTGAATAACACCGCTTTAAGTTGAAACCAGAAAGAAGTTGGAGGCCTTGGAAATGTGGTGTTATAGGCGAATGCTAGGAAAAGGCTACACTGACAGGAAAACAAATGAAGAAGTTCTAAGATTAGCAAAAACTTCAACGAGAAATATTGAAATGTACAGAAAAAGGAAAATGAGATACTTTGGTCATATAATTAGGGATGGGGGAATAAAAACAGAAATATTAATGTGATTGAGGTGGAGGAAATTAAAAACTGGGTCCCCCAAAGAGATATAATAGTGTGAACAGCTTTTCTATGTGAATTTAAATAAAGAAACTTTCCATGATAGTACTGTATATAACAACAATATAAAATTTAAAGGACAACATTCCCCTCAGTGTAAGTGAAGGACGTTGTCGCTAAACAGATGGCAAGGGAAGAGAGCAACAATTAATGGCTGTATGAATAGTAGAGTTCTCGAGTCTTCGAGTGAAGCTTAACAATACATTGTTATTTCCTTGATGAAGCGTCACAACACTAATAAGCCAGTAAATCAAGGAACATTAATATGTCTCTAGGTAAACCCTAGCCCACTAAACATGTTTCAATAAACCTTGGACCACTAAAACACCTTTCAGTGCACCCTGGACCACTAAAACATCTTGTAGTACATCCTGGACCACTAAAACATATAGCAGTAGACCTTGGACAACTAAAATATCTTGCAGTGAACCCTGGACCACTAAAACATCTTACTATAAACCCCTGACCTTTAAAATTACTTGCTATAAACCTCGGACTACTAAGACATCTGGCAGTAGACGCTGGACCACTAAAACATTTTGCAGTGGATTCTAGACCACTAAAACATCTTGTAGTTGACTCTAAGCCACTTAAACATCTTGCAGTAGACCCTAGACCACTTAAGCATCTTTCAGTCGACCCTGGACTACTAGAACATTTTTAAGTAGGCCCTGAACCACTAAAACATCTTGAAGTAGACCCTGGGCCACTAAAATATCTTTCAGTAGACCCTGGATTACTAAAATATCTTGCAGTAGACCCCTGGATCACAGAAATATCTTGCAGTAGACCCTGGACAACTAAAATATCTTGCATTAGGACTTGACCACTAAAACAGCTTGGAGTAGGCCCTGGGCCACTAAATCATCTCGCAGTAGACCCTGGCTTACAGAAATATCTTGCAGTAGATCCTGGGTCACTAAAATATCTTGCAGTAGACCCTGGACCACTAAAACATTTTGCAGTAGGCCCTGGACCACTAAATCATCTTGGAGTAGGCCCTGAATCACTAAATCATCTTCGAGTAGACCCTAGGCCACTAAAATATCTTGCAGTAGGCTCTGAACCACTAAAACAGCTTGGAGTAGGCCCTGGGCCACTAAATCATCTTGGAGTAAACTCTGGACCACTAAAATATCTTGCAGTAGACCCTGGATCAGAGAAATATCTTGCAGTAGACCCTGGGCCACTAAATCATCTTGGAGTACACCCTGAACCACTAAAATATCTTGCAGTAGATCCTGGATCACTAAAATATCTTGCAGTAGACCCTTTACCACTAAATTATCTTCGAGCAGGCCCTAAACCCCTAAAATATCTTGCAGCAGGCCCTGGGCCACTAAATCATCTTGGAGTAGGCCCTGAACAACTAAGACTATCAAAACATCTTGATAAGGGCCCTGAATCACCAAAACATCTTGCAGTACACCCTGGACCACTTAAACGATGGACTGACACTATAAAGTAAGATTGTTATTCCTCTTAATAAGTTCATTTTAACTTAAGTGCAAGGGTTTACAGTGAAATGCAGTAACCAGAGTCAGCAGCATAACTGGGTTGATGGGGAGAACTACCCGAGGGAGGAAGTCTGATATGATGAAAGTCACTGTTAAGATCCGCCCTTCAATAACCATTTGGTTCAGGAAGGAGAAGTAGGAACTGCCGATAATGCTGTTCATTACCGTCGTCAACAAGATCAGTGTTATCGGGAGTCCTACGTAGTCGTGCAGGAGGCGATGGAACTCGTGTATTTGTATCAAATTACTCTGAGTGTTCTTCAGGATCTTTTGCTCCTGTAACTTGTCCAAGGATATGTCAGTGAGTCCTCCTCTTGTCCTAAGGGATTCATTGACAGTAAATGCTGAGACAGTGATGACCTAATGTTGTCATACACTACACACCTGTGACGTATCACCCAATAGAAAACCGACGATGAAGGAACTGTCAAGAAGCATATATAGTCATCGTATAATTATGATCCTTAGAGTATTTAAGCCTGGGTTCCTTACTAAGTATCAGCAACGATTTACAATAATGGATGTATTACTAAGAATAATTACCAGTAAGCAAATGGTTGGTGGTCCACTGTTGCACAGTCACCCACAAAAGTCCTGTCACCCCTCCTCCTGAACCACGAACCCTGAACCCCGAGATTCAGACTTGTGAATCCAACGCATTTATGGACAAAATAATGCATCAGTATCTATTGTTTCGGGTTCATGAGTTTGTGTATATATATATATATATATATATATATATATATATATATATATATATATATATATATATATATATATATATATATATATATATATATATATATATGTGTGTGTGTGTGTGTGTGTGTATACCTCGTATCTGTGTGTGGATATACATGTATTTGTTATTCATATAATTTCATTATTTATCACACCATCTTAATTAAGATACACTTTCCAAAATGTTACATTCCATCAAATGACCGTCATCATCACTGTAAACAAATGAGTCACACATAAAACATTCTCTGACGTCAGCGAACCACAGACAGTCAAATGATATTTAGAGTAACCAAGGGAGAAGGAACCCGTCTACGGTGTTTTGAAAGATGCCCAGCAGGGCTCCCCCACCGGATATCCTAAAGTGTAAGCAACAACACAGAGGGGGTTAGCCACAGTCTGAGAGGCGTGACGGACAGGTTAGGACACTCTTCCGAGACAGAGAAAGTCCCAGCAATTAAGTCAGTGACTGATGGACAAACCCTTAGGATATCCGACTACCAAGGCCATTGGATTTGATAGTAAAAAATATTCCTTTAATATTTTGTAGAACAGGTCGGTTCATTTGTTCTGGCATCCTTATTAGCGGCGGAGGTCCTGCCAAGTGTGTTCAGAAGATCTTTCCATCAGGATCAACTTTACGATCTTCTAAAACTACCAGTGCTGTGAGGGGTGAAGGACATGTTAGTTGACTAGTCTAGACTCCTTCCACTACAGAGAGGAAGGGCCCTGTCACAGCTTAGGGTTGAAAAAGTCACAAGTCCAGAAAATTGTGAGGGTAAACTTTTTCGGAGTGAGAATTGTGAACTCTTGGAACAATCTGTCAGAGAGTGTTGTGACGGCGCCCCGAGCGTGATCTCTTTCAAGCGCAGACTTGACCAACACTGGAGCAGGTTTAAATACATTCAGGAGCCAGTGCATGCCCAGTGCTTGTCAACAGTGCGTAACAGAGACTTGACCGACAGCCCAAGCGGCTAACGAGCCGATCAGTGGTGAAGACGATAAAAGTAAAAGTTCCAGTACATTTTCTCAAGGCTTCTTACACTTCTAGAAATTAACGAGAGAAGGAATATTTGTAAACAGTTGACTCGTGAAGCAAATATCCCAAAGACAATATAACTTTATCAACGTCAAAGAAGGATTACAAAACTGAATGGAAGCAAAAATCATTCTGAGGTAACAGTGTATGGCAACAGGCGTATAGCACCAGAAAGATAGTGAGAGAGAGAGAGAGAGAGGTCAGAAAAACTAGAATAAGGTAAAAGAGAGAAAGAGAGAAAGAAAGGTTATAGGAAGAAAGAGAGAAGACTAAGACAGAACAATAAAGACAGGAAGAACACAAGAGAAGAACAAATATAGAAAGGAGACAAAACGAAAGAAAACAGAGAAAGAAAAAGACACGAAGAAATCCAAAAAATAGAGGAAGATAATAAAAAAGAAATATAGAGGGACAAAATTTGAGAGACAGCGAAAAAGGAGAAAGACAGGTCAAGATGAATGCTGTAATTCATGTCATAACTCTCTGCATCATCACCACCGTCACCATAACAGAAGGTAAACCAGTTACTTCAATATGTATGTATGTATGTATGTATGTATGTATGTATGTATGTATGTACAGGGTATCTATGTATGAATGTATGAATACACTCAGTATATGTCTGTGTTCAAAAGGTTAGGTTAGGTTAAGCAGCTTGACGAAGGCATAAACACAGATAAATACAACCTTCACACTGTCTCCAGTAGTCCCTGTGACTCTATACTGTGGGTGTAGTGTGTTGTAGGTGTAGTGTGTTGTGGGTGTAGTGTGTTGTGGGGGTAGTGTGATGTGGGTGTAGTGTGTTGTGGGTGTAGTGTGTTGTGGGTGTAGTGTGTTGTGGGTGTAGTGTGTTGTGGGTGTAGTGTGTTGTAGGTGTAGTGTGTTATGGGGGTGTAGTGTTGTGGGGGTAGTGTGTGATGGGGGAAAGGGTGTGGATGTGTAGTGTTGTGTGGCAGTGTAGTGTGTTGTGGGGTAGTGGTGTGTTGTGGGTGTGTGTGTGTGTGGGTGTAGTGTGTTGTGGGGTGTGTTGTGTGTGTGGGGTAGTGTGATGTGGTGTGTTGTAGGGTGTGTTGTGGGGGAAAGTGTGTCAGTAGTGTGTCATGTGTGGTGTAGTGTGGGTTGTAGGGGTAGTGTTGTGGTGTAGGTGGGGGTAGTGTGTCAGGGTGTAGTGTGTCAGGTGTAGTGTAGTGTGTGTGTAGTACAGGGGGTAGTGTGTGGGGGTAGTGTGTTGTGTGTTGTGTTGGGGGTAGTGTGTGTCAGGGGGTGGGTGTGTGTGTGTAGTGTGTGTCAGGTGGGTAGTGTGTTGTGGGTGTAGTGTGTGTTATGGGGTAGTGTGTGGTGGTAGTGTGATGTGGGTGATGTGGGTGTAGTGTGTCAGGGGTGCACTGTGTTGTGGGTGTAGGTGTAGTGTGTTGGTGGGGGGGTAGTGTGTTGTGGGGGTAGTGTTGTGAGGTGTTGTGTGGGGTAGTATGTGGGTGTAGTGTGTTGTGTAGTGGGTGTAGGGGTGTAGTGTTAGGGTGTAGTATGCAGGGTGTAGTGTGATGTGGGCGGGTGTAGTGTGGGGTGTAGTGTGTCAGGTGTAGTGTATTCTAGGTGTAGTATGTCAGGGTGTAGTGTGATGTGGGTGTAGTGTGTTGTAGGTGTAGTGTTGGGGGTAGTGTGCCAGGGGGGTAGTGTGATGTGTATGTCAGGGTGTAGTGTGTGTGTGTAGGTATTGTGGGTGTGTAGTGTGCTGGGGTAGTGTATTCTAGGTGTAGTGTGTAGTAGTAATGATGTGGGGTGTAGTATGTCAGGTGTGTGTGTGCTGTGGGCGTAGGTATTGTGGGGTGTAGTAGCCGTGTGTAGTGTATCTCAGGTGTAGTGTGTGTGGGGTAGTGTGGTGGGTGAAAAGTTGTGTGGTAGTAGTGTGTGGGGTAGTGATGTGGGTGTAGTGTATCCTAGGTGTAGTGTGCATTCTAGTGTATGCTGTTGGGTGTGAGTGTGTTAAAAGTTGGCTGTAGTGAAGGTGTGTGCTGGGTGTAGTGTGTCAGGGTGTAGTGTGTTGTTGGTGTAGTGTATTGTGGTGTAGTGTGTTGTAGGTAGTATGTTGTAGGTGTGTACTGGTGTAGTGTGTGGGGTGTAGTGTGAAAGGTGTAGTGTGTTGTAGTGTGTTGTGCTGGGGTAGTGTATCTTAGGTGTGTGTAGTGGGTGTAGTTGTGAAAAGTCAGGTGTAGTGTGTTGTGGGTGTAGTGTGTTGTGGGTGTAGTGTGTTGTGGGTGTAGCATGCTGTGGGTGTAGTGTGATGTGGGTGTAGTGTGCTGTGGGTGTAATGTGCTGTGGGTGTCGTGTGTTGTGGGTGTAGTGGGTGTTGTGGGTGTAGTGTGCTCTGAATATAAACTAAATCCTGCTATCAGTGATGACCTTGTGTTAACTATTGTACTTCTCACATTAAGGTTTGTGTACCTGTAGGTATTGAACTTCTTCATCTACGTGCATTTAATATTTTCAAACTTGTTTTATCTTTCAGTTTTCAAGTCATTTTTTTGTTTATTGTTACGTTTTAAAAATGTTCAACTAAATAAATGTTCTTTTACGATGATGAAATAACTGGTGTTCTACTAACAACAAAAACAACAACAAAAACGACAACAATAAAAATAATAATAATAAATACGCATCGTGAAATTCAATAAAACTCCAGAAATGTGATCTAAGAAACTTCCTTCAAATTTCCATTTTCACATGAAATGACACAGTCACTGGAGGCTCTTTCTCTTTGTCTCTCTGCCCGACGGATTTTGTTGTCGAGTTGTCTGTCTATTCGTTTCCCTGTCTCTTCCCTGTCTTTCGGTCTATCTATTAGTTTGTCTACGCTGGGCAGCGAGCCACGTGATATTGAATAATATTTTCACGAGCTAGCTAACAAAAATCATATACTGTGTGTGTGTATATATATATATATATATATATATATATATATATATATATATATATATATATATATATATATATATATATATAGTATATATATACATACATTGTGTGTGTGTGTGAGAGAGAGAGAGAGAGAGAGTATTTCAATACATTTTGTACATGCAATTAAAATAGGCTTATATATATATTTCTATCTTGTTTATCATCCAGCAGGTAATGGAGTGTTCACCACTAGTAAAGACAACGTGTACAATGTTACTGTGCCTAAGAACAGTTCAGAGTCCAGTTTCTACTTGTGGGCGAACCATCCCAACACCTCGGTGAAGATCCAATTTGTGAGCGTCTACCCCTACAGCGACTCCTTCACCATTACACAAGTTAATGTCTGGCATCTATCCTATGTCTACCAGCCTGTGAGTATGAAAATGTGCTTTAAATAAGAATGTAAAGTAAAAGAAATACATATATTCACTCTTTCAAGCACGTTTCTCTCTGGATAAAAGAGGTGCCGAAGTGCAAACACCAGTCTGGTGGCTCTCCGTTAGACATTTTCAATCAATTGACAGTCCCTAGCATATCTCGGAGACCAGACGGGGTGACAGTACTCCAGGCGGGGAAGCACATCACTCTTGAAAATCGTTACGAGGGACGAACCGTCTAGATACGTGAACGACCTTCTTATAAGACCTACTAGTCTAGTTGCTTGATTCACTTTCTTCTCACAATGGCCCGAGAATTTCAGTTCATTGTCACCATACTCACCCAGGTCCTTTTCGCATTCGGGCTCTATTCATGCAGTTCCTTCATCCCGTTGGGAAATATGATACGTCTCCTTACTAGTGGTACGACCCAGGTGCATCCTCTTACACTTCATGAAACTGAATCTTAGCATCCATTTCTTCGACCACTTTTGAAGCTCTTCACAGTCTGTTTGGTTCTCAATTTCCCTGAAGAAGTTGGCATCGTCCGCAAATATTTGTATAGAGAAGTGTAGAGTTTCCGGCATGTCATTTATGAAGCAAACAACAACGGGCCCAATACACTGCCCTGTGGTACCCCACTTGTCACGGGTACACATGACGATTTCGTCCCATTAATCACCAGACACTGCTTGCGATCATGCAGAAAGTCTCCGATCCTTGCTAGGACACTTCCTTGAATCCCTACCCTTCCAGTTTAATTCTCACCCTTTCATGAAGGACGCTGTCGAAAGCCTTGGCATATTTTTTTTTTTTTTTACGAGGATTAGTCCACCCGCACAGGTCACTGACCCACAAAAGTAGGCCTAAATATATTATTAATACACAATAATAATAATAATAATAATAATAATAATAATAATACACACACTATAATTCATTTCATTACAACAATTAATAGCAAATAGTAAAATATAAAAAATAATAAAATAAATAAAATAATAATAATAATAATAATAGTCATAATAATAATAATAATAATAATAATAATAATAATAATAATAATAATAACAATAATAATAATAATAATAAATAATAATAATAATAATAATAATAATAATAATAATAATAATAATAAATAAATAAATACAAAACGAAAAAAATAAATCAAGAGTGAGAAACGATATACATTATGTATGTTGTGTTGTCCAAGTAAGAGAAACAATTGAGACCCAGCAATTGTGTGTAAATGAGGCAGAAAGTCAGATCAGCAACCTGGGACTTGGTCACAATTTTTGTGATGCCATATGGCAGCAGGGTCTACCATTAGACAACACATTATGCTTCCAATATCTTCCCAGGCGGTAGTACCTCCCTGTTTGGTAGCTGCTTAATACCTGTAGGTATATATTGTCGATATTGCCACCCTGTTCCAGAATTTGGGTCCAAACATCCAGTAACTTGAGTAATTGTGTTAAACAGAAGTGTCCCGGCATAAAAACGTGTTGGTAGTCCTTTACAAGATTGTTTCGTAGTTGATGTTCCATCTTGGCATCTCTATAATACTCTCTAATTATTCTAATACTTTACACACTATAGTGGTCAGACTCACTGGTCTATAATTATTCGTTGAGTGACGATCGCGCCTTCTTGAATAGGGGACTTACATAAGCCATTTTCCAACCACTTCGGATTCATCCAGGCATTTACAGAACAGGATCTTCAGGGGCTCAGCAAGCTTGTTGCACAACTCATTTAGCACTGGGATCCACCATGTCAGGGCCGGGACTCTTATTTCTTATACCCTCTTCTGAGAACAAAATGTGGGTCAGCACTGTGTCAAACTGTCGTTCCTCAAGCGCAGGAATATTTTTCGTATCCTCTCTTGTGAACACCGAGGAAAAGAATCTGCTCAATGCCTCCGCCTTGTCCTGGTCAGAATCGAGTCGCGTTTTTAATTTCGACTTTGCGTAGCGGTAAAACGCCTTTAAGTTTGATTTTACCTCACTCGCAATCCGCTTCTGGAACTCTTTTTCAGCCCATCTACACTCTGACTTTGCTTGGTCCCTGGATCTGGCATACACCCTCCTGTCCTGCCTATCATGTGTCCTAACCCACGTCTCGAATTTCTGGGTTTTCTTCTTAACTTTGTCGACCACCGCATGGTTCATGTGTAACAGTCTATTTGTATTCCTGGAGGCACTGGGTTTGGTCTTTTGTATATATTTATCGATCAAATGATTCATTTTACTGGCTATGATATTCAGTAAAGTGGATGCGGCCTGTAAATACTCATCTCCTCCCCCATCCCGTCGTAATTACCCTTGTAACATTTGAACCTTCGCCTGGTTTTATCATGAACTAAGTAACAGTTAAATCTGAAGGACAACGTTACATGATGACTGGTGCCAACAGGGGGGCAGTCTGGTGCTTATTATACCCCGCAGTTAGTTATGATGAGGTCCAGCGTTACAGTCAATTTCATTACGGTCAAATACTTCAACACTTCTCTATACGAACCTTACTACTAATAACACTGAGAGAAAAATTAAATACAGAGAGAGAGAGAGAGAGAATTCCAGTCTCTTATATTCTAAAATAAGTCTCTTTTACTTCCAGACAAAAGAGAAGCCCTTACAAATACAGATCCCACTCGACCAAGTGTATGTGCAGATGGATTATTTCCCGGTAGAGGAAATAGTCTTCTCCAGCGATGCCCTCGTCTACTGGTCCTTCTGTAGCCAACGTCATACCTGTAGTGAGTGTCTCTCTGTCTGCTCTGAGGGAGAGATAGAAAGGGGTTAAAGGAAAACGGAGAAAAAGAGAGAAAAAAGGGAGAAAAGACGGAAAATTTATAATACTGACTTGTACTGTCCATGGTTAGGTTAGGTTAAGAACCCAGCCCGTTTCTCTCTCTTTCTCATCTACCAACTATAGTATTTCCACGCTAACCTGGCCCGTAAGCCACGCTCTTCTTTTATAAAAATAGATTATTTGTTCATAGAAATTGTTCATGTGGCTGTCCATTTATTCAAACTAAATGTGTTCACAATGGGTAAGCAGACCTGTTATTCTCTAGAATAATGTTAAATATCTGGACTTCAAAATGCAAATGCTTTCAAAGCATCAGCACACCAGAGAGGATGTTAGACAATTTTAAATATTTATCATCAAAAGTCAAAGTCAAAGGTGAAATTTACTTTCAAATGAAGTTGTGGGGTTAACGTGATGTTGAATCGCATTAGGATGGAGGTGAGAAGGGAAACTCACAATGGCGTTTTCTATATAATATATCATATGTACAATGCAGTGTCAGGGAGTTGCTGTGTGGTGAGGAGCTTGTTGAGAGGAGGTCTTGTCTGTTTGAGAGCGCTCAGTAGAATCCCTTCTTGACTTGACTTGACGTCTGTAGATAAGGTAGAGGGCTATTGCTTGTAATGCTGAGTGGGAGGACAGGGATTAGGATTGGAAGTACTATGATGGCAATTTGAGGGAGGTGGGAGGGGATTGGTTTAGGATCAAGGAAAATGAGGGAGAAAAATTGAAGGAAAGTTAGAGATTGGCAGTATCCGGGCTCAACCAAATATGCCGAGGTTATAATAATTACATTTGAGCTTACATCTTACTTGACTAGGTTCTAGCTCTCAAGCCTTTTTCATTTAGTTAAAAATATGTTTATTTTTGCAATAGCCATTGTTCCAAGGAAGGGGTGACGACCTCTGGCCAGGTTCGTGTGGGGCTGGCTGAGCAACGTATCTTTTGTTTTAATAAGAGTGGAAGGAAGGGGCAAAAAGACAAGTGTTGGAGAGGCCAAAGATAGTGTCCTTTGGTCACTCTCATCTTTTTAATTCCCTTCACGGCGAGGCTGTGGGCTTATATACGAGTCCACCGGAAGTAAGCGTCGCTGTTGGCCAACCCGGCGCCGTCAGACGCCAGGCTTGTCAGAGAATCTCGACGCAGGATCGACTGATCAGCGACAATCGGCAGTGGCAGTTGTAGGGAAGAGTATCCACGACAAAGTCTTTTCGTTATTTCTTTGTTTTTCACCAAACATAAAGCAAACAAACAAATGATACCAAACATATAGCACAATATGTAATGAAATACAGTTTGTACGGCTGGATATATCCCAAATCATTTACATAACTGATAAAACTCGATATAAATGCTTGCAGTCAGGGAGGGGGATAAAACGCTGAGAGGAACAGCCATTGGACTTGCAGGAATTTCTGTCAGACCTTAACTTCAACTGTCAACAGATGTCATCGCTATGGTACTTAACCAACAAAAACATTTCTCACACCCACCAGCAGATTATTAAATACTTTATCCACTAACTTGGCATCTCCCAATCTTAAATGCTGAGATGTAGAGGTGTAGAGGTTTAACATTTTCATCCTCTGTCATCAAGTATGAGGAAATTTGGTGTAATTGAACGAAAATCTCTGCCAATGATGGACGATGTATAGTTAGTTAATTTATGTAATAGTACTGTATTAGTGATCGTGGGCCCTTCGTGCCCGGTGGCGAGTCCAGTGGTACAGATTACCGAGGCGTGAAAGTTCAAGAGCTCTTGCTTGGCTAGCGCTCAACCGCCGTCCGGCTGACAGCGTAGAGCGACATCGTTTTCCAGATGGCCGTGGTTGTTATAATCATGGTTGTGGTTATTATAATCATGGTCGTGGTTGTTATAATCATGGTCGTGGTTGTTATAATCATGGTCGTGGTTGTTATAATCATGGTCGTGGTTATTATAATCATGGTCGTGGTTATTATAATCATGGTCGTGGTTGTTATAATTATGGTCGTGGTTATTATAATCATGGTCGTGGTTGTTATAATCATGGTTCTGGTTGTTATAATCATTGTCGTGGTTATTATAATCATGGGCGTGGTTGTTATTATCATGGTCGTGGTTACTATATTCATGGTCGTGGTTGTTAAACTCATAGTCGTGGTTGTTATAATCATGGTCGTGGTTGTTATAATCATGGTCGGTGTTGTTATAATCATGGTCGTGGTTGTTATAATCATGGTCGGTGTTGTAACTGGCGGTCGGTTGTTATAATCGCGACGTTGTTATAATCATGGTCGTGGTTGTTATAACTGGCGGTTGTGGTTGTTACACCGGCGATCGTGCCTGTTATACTATGGTCGTGGTTGCTATAACTGGCGGTCGTGGCAGCATAACGCGGTCAGGTTGTTGGTAACTGGCGGTCGTGGTTGGTAACGCGTCGTGTTTAGCAGTAAATCATGGTCGTGGCTGTTATAATCATGGTCGTGGTTGTTATAACCGCGTATCGTGGCGCATAATCATACGTCGTTGTTATAATCATGGTCGTGGGTTGTTATAACTGGCGGTCCTGGTTGTTATAACCGCGGTCGTGGTTGTTATAATCATGGTCGTGGTTGTTGGTAATCATGGTCGTGCTGTTATAATCATGGTCGTTGTTATAACTGGCGGTCGTGGTTGTTATAATCATACGGGTTGTTATAATCATGGTCGGGTTGTTATAATCATGGTCGGCTATAACCATATGGTCGTGGTTGTTATAATCATGGTCGTGGCTATGTAATCATGGTCGGTTGTTATAATCATGGTCGTGGTTGTTATAATCATGGTCGTGGTTGTTATAATCATAGTCGTGCTTGTTATAATCATGGTCGTGGTTGTTATAATCATGGTCGTGGTTGTTATAATCATGGTCGTGGTTGTTATAATCATGTTCCTGGTTGTTATAATCATGGTCGTGGTCGTGACACTTACAGTATCTAATATACTATAAGAAGGAATAGAATAAAGGTTAGAATAATTAATTAAAGAAATATTCGCCATAAGGAGAGGTTAAAATCATAAAAAAAATTATTATGAATCACCGATGATCATTCCGAGATAAAGTATATTATGAAGAGAAGTGACCTTGATTCTGGTTATATTAGTCACCATCTGCTTAAGTCATCACCTGTGTTAAGTCATCATAGTCAGCATCTACGTTAGTCAGTTTTAGGCCCATCTCACATGACTGACCGACCATGGATGTTCTTTCCACGCGAGGGTGTTAGTTCTCAATGCGTCTTATTATTTACACTGGTGGATGTAAGACCTCCTACCCTCACTGACGCAGCTATGGTCAATTTGGTGTTATTCTTGTTTATAAATGCCTTCTAATCTGTCTCAAGTCTATCCGTCCTGTCTATTGCCATCCCAACTGTCTGTTCGTCTGCCTGGTGTTTAAATGTAAGCCCGTCTGTACTCTTTGTGACGTCAAATCTGTCTGTCTTATCCGTTGTTGGCGTGTCTGCCTGTTTTTCTAATGAGAACCAGTTAGTCAGCTGTCTGTCTGTCATGTTAGTTGCCATATTGTCTATTTGTGCATGTATGAATCTGTCTATTTTTGTCAACCTCCTGTCTGTTTCACTGTCTATAGTCACCCTGTGTCTATTGTAGTCATCTTCTCCATGCACTCCTTTTGTTATCTTTTTTTCTCGTCTCCTTTTCCATGTACAGTCACCCACAGGAATAAGTATACACTGTAGCTGTAAGGTCGTCTGGTAACGTTGAAACTGCGCATCCAGACGCATGATGAAACTCAGCTCCCCCCCACCTGTTATCTCTAACTATTTTCTGTTTCCCCTTCTTTATTCTTCTATTTACTCATCTTCCTTCCTTTACTGATCCAAACAAAATTTTAAAAAAAAGTAGGCGAAGAAAAAAGTGAGGGGGAGGACGAGGAGGAAGATTCACCAAATTTGATGAAAAACAATTGTGCTGCTTCGGGTGCCCAGAACAGACACACACACACACACAAACATATATTAGATGCCCGCTGTACCGTATTGGCAGTCCGCGTCAAGTGTCCAGCTGATCTGTCAGAATTGTCGTCGATGCGGCTGCGAAGTCCAGTGGCTGTACTCCTGAGCGTTATTCCCCCTCCCTGACTGCACGCATTTATATCGAGTTTTATCAGTTATGTAAATGATTTGGGATATATCCACCCGTACAATCTGTATTTCATTACATATTGTGCTATATGTTTGGTATCATTTATTTGTTTAGTTTATATTTTGTAAAAAACAAAGGAATGATGAAAAGACTTCATTTAAAAGTAAATTTCACTTTTGACTTTGACCTTTGATGATAAATATTTAAAATTGTTCATTCTCTCTGTGCTAATGCCTTGAAAGCATTTGCATTTTGATAGTCCAAATATTTAACATTATTTTAGAATAATGGTCTGCTTACCCATTATGAACACATTTAGTTTGAATAAATTGACAGCTACATGAACAATTTCTATGAACCAATAACCTATTTTTATGGAAGAAGGGCGTGGTTTACGGGCCAGGTCGAAATAGTTATAGTGTCATCATCCTATTGAATTTCCCTTCCATATCTCACTCTCATCTACCAACTAGTACCATCATCCTATTGCAGTCCCCTTCCATCTCTCTCTCTCTTCCATTATGTTTACACAATTAGAATCTAAAATACATGGAACTAATGTTGCACCTGATGGCTCCAGTGACTAATAGCGGTAACATCAGTAGTCGATCACTAGCAGCAGTCGATGTTGGTGATGATGGTAACAGCCTCTACCTTACAATCTCCTTGGCGGTGGCGTGTGGGGTGCTGCTGATAGCTGTAGTAACTCTCGCTGGAATGCTCTGCTACCAACGAAGGAGCAACGTCTTCCATCACTATGAGAAGCCAAGTAGGTCTTCACTTCCTGGCCTGATTATATTGTGTTAAAACTAAGTAAAAGACACAGAAATAAATAAAAAGAATCCACACCCCCCCCCGCCCACACACACACACTACTACTACTACTACTACTACTACTACTACTACTATTTCTTTGCTGTCACTCTGAATCACCCAGCTATGATAAAATTATATGAGTTATTTAGGATGTCACCTTCGGTGGTGAACTCTGGGGTGACTAGAGAGGCCGATACGGGACCGGCAGGATCGTCCAGATGTTGCTCGTGTGGAGGGCTACATCTAGTGCAGGAGAGGGGGGGAGGCGGCAGCGTCTTTCTGGTGATGGCGCTTGTCCGCTTGTCTGCCTCTTAATCGGTAACCTGAAAGTATTGACACCTTCGTGTGCCCGCGTTACTGTGTGTAATAATCGTCAGGTGAGGGGTAAATTTGGTTTCAGGTTTGTCTTAAAACTATCCTTATACCTTTTCAGTTGCCCGCCAGCATTCTGTTTACTATACTGTAAAGTAGCATGCAGGTAATATTGCCAGTCCAACATAGTTGTTCATGGATAATGGCAGCCTCGGTACTTCTACAGTTGGTGTCAGCGACAATACTGGCATTTGTTCTCTAATCTTCCCAACGAACTCAGAGGCTGGAATGTAGAATACGTTGGTGAAAATTTTCAAGTGCCTTCAGGTGCCTCCTGTATGTGACCCATGTATCGCTGCCATATAGCAGGGTGGGGGACCACGTGCAACTTTGAAGATAATTTCAGCTCCCTACAACTGAAGACATGGGTACGGAGTTTGCCAATGGCTTGAGATCCACATCTGATCCGTTCAATCTTTTCATCAATGTTCACAGTGATGGACAGTTGAGAGCCGAGATACTTAAAGTGGGTAACATTGGAAAGGGTAGTACCGTTAAGCTGGATTGATGGTGGAGGTGTAACTGAACTATTAGCAGGCTGAAAGACAGTCTTACGTACATTCACCTGAAGGCTATAGTGTGCATACTCATCTGCATTGGCGTTCAGGATCTCCAAGTAGGTTGCGTTCAGTGTGAGTGACAGGGGTGAGGTCATCTGCATACTGAAGTTCAGTAATGAAAGCTGTCAACACCTTTGTTCCTGCCTGAAGTCGTCTTATGTTGAAAAGACCCTTCATCCGGTACTCAATGTCCACCCCGGATAAATTGTCACTAGGACGATAGAGGAAGGCAACCAAGAAAATGGAAAATAAAGTTGGTGCCAGTACACATCCTTGTTTACTCTCATTTGCATGGGGAAGAACTCAGTCTCGGTGCTGGCCGTTCATGCCAAAGAGGAGTTGCATCACAATGGCGATGAATTTTGGTGGGCAGCCAAAACAGCTGAGGGTCCGCCAGAGGGCTTCCTTCTTCACTGAATCGAAGGCCTTGGTTAGGCACTTTTCCCATTCACAGCAAAATGATAATTTAAAGCCACATTAAGACTCTGGGAAAAAGTTTTCCGCCTCAGGAAGAAGTCTTGCCAGCTACGGACAGCAGCGAGATCCCGCGGTAGTTGCCACAGTCTGACCTGTCTCCCTTGTTCTTATAAATATTGACGAATGAGGGTTATTTCAGAGCTTCGGGGATTTCTTCATTTTCCCATATATTCTCCAGGAGAGAGTGGAGACCGAAGCAGAGGTCCTCCTGCTTTATACACCTTAGCTTGGATTCCATCAGGCCCATTCAGCACAGGGATTTGGGTTGTTTGTTGTCGGGCTGTTTATCAGCCCATGGTCTAGCTGGTCTCTCAAGGCATGTGCTACCACTAGATCCTCCGAACGCTTTGTGTTAAAACCTCTTCTGGAGGCTTGTTGCCTTCGTTGTTTGGGGGCAATGAAGTCACCTAGGAGCACAACCTTAACTTCCCTGGGGATAGAAGTTAGCACTCTGTCAAGGTCGGCATAAAAGACCTCCTTGGTGTAATCCTCTGCATCCAGTGTTGGGGCATATGAACAGATGAAGAGGGCATGACTTGAGTGAATCAGGGGGACTCTGAGCATCATGAGATGCTCGTTGATCTCAACAGGCATTTCAGTTGGCCTGTGTAGGATGTGTTGACTGATGGCAAAGCCAACTCATAAATGCAGTTTCTCCCTCGCAGTAGGCTTACCCTTCCAGGAGGTATAGCCAGATCCCCGTTTTGTGAGTTGACCCTCGTCTGGGAGCCGGAAGTCACTAATGGCTGCAATGTCGATGTTATACCAAGTTAGCTCTTTTGCCACAAGAGCGGTTCTTCTTTCAGGACGCTCATTCGTGCCAGTATCTAGAAAGGTCCTGACATTCCATACAGAGACCCTAAGAGGTTGTATAGTTCGTTTTTGTTTTGATCTGTGATTATGATTGTGTTTTCGACCGCATAAGATGACCTTACTGGGTGTGGTTGCCCAGTCAGTTGGTTCTTTAGGCAGGAGATGTTTAGTGGCTCCTCAAAAGGGCTGCTCAGTCGCACAGACAGGACCGGATTACACTGTTGCCTGGATCCCAGTACACAAATAACCATCTTATCTATGCCGCCCAATGAGCAGAGTTGTGACTAGAGACTTCTGGTAGTCATATTTGCCTGTCCCCGTCACCACTTGTCCGTCGCCATGGGACTTTTGGGGGTATGGGGGTTTTGATGATGATAACTATGATGACCTGGATGATGGCTGCTCATGAGTTCTATTATGTGGTGAGGCAGGAGTGCAAGCTGCAACCACATCTTGGCTTTACCTTTTCCTGATCCAGTGGTGCAAGTGTTGTAATAAATGGGGAGAGGGAAAGTTGTAATGGACTGCCGATAGCCCAGTTTGTTGGGTTTCGCCTTAGTAGCCTGTCCACCATGCAGTGCCTTCGTCCATTGGTGTAGTCATTCGGTTCCTATGCTGGTCACCTCTTCCGCCTATACCGCTGTTGGGGTGTTGTTGGAGCTTTGTAAGCATGTCTGCCTGATGTGGGGCTCCATCGCAGGTTTTTCATTCCGGGTTTACTCCCGTAGCCTTATACCTCTCAAGGTTAATCCGCAAGGCAGCTGGGCAGTGATTGGTAGGCGTGCCGTCCTTCTGAGCCTGCTGCTCCGAGATCCCCTGCTGGTCTAGTCTGGGCCCGCGAGGCACTCAGTTACCGTGTGTTGCCACGAGGAGGCACAGCCGGCGGGTTGGTGTCCACAGGAACACCGCTGCACAATGGATTCATTCGATGGATTCATTCGGCGACACCTCGAAACTGGTGCTACAGACGACAGGTCTCGGAGCGGCCGTCCACGCTGCACCACCCCTCAGGACGACCAGGTTGATTGGTTTGTTGGTAGCATAAATTAATGTGGTAATATTCACAAGTATCACAAATAATTTTGTTAACAGGGTGCTCCTCATATTTCATACTGTCTATTTATCACTTCCCGACCTTATTTATAACGGTTTGTTTCACTTGACCAGAGCTGCCAACATACAGCTGGAACAACTCGCCTTTCCCAATACCTATCGTCACTGGTCTCAAATTGTTCACACTACAGTATGCACCGATACTTTTTGTTGCGAGTGTACCTTGATTATTTTTGTTCTCTGTCTTTGTCTCCAATTCTTAAATAACCTTTTGTCTGTCTGTCTGTCTGTCATTTCAGTACGACTACCTCTACCACCACCTGTTCCAAAAGGCATCCACCCCAAGATCAACAGCAACAGCAACCAAGACTTCCCCGATAACTGCGGTACACAAGTCTCCCCAGATAACTGCAGTTCCCAAATCTCCCCAGATAACCGCGGTACACAAGTCTCCCCAGATAACTGCAGTTCCCAAGTCTCCCCAGATAACCGTGGTACACAAGTCTCCCCAGATAACTGCAGTTCCCAAATCTCCCCAGATAACCGCGGTACACAAGTCTCTCCAGATAACTGCAGTTCCCAAGTCTCCCCAGATAACCGCGGTACCCAAGTCTCCTTCGAATACCGTGGTATACAAGTCTCCCCCGACTACTGCAGTACCCAAGACTCCCTCGATAACCGCGATAACGACACGACCTCGGAGCACTACTACAGGGTGGATCAATGACGACAAGACTCAGTTGACAGGCGGCAGTGAACATGAACACGAGCGTGTTAACAGTATCTATGGAGTTAATTTGTGGCATTATAACTCGTGTGAAGAGATATAGAATCACATAAAAGGTTCATATTTATATTATATACTGTAGATAGATATATATATATATATATATATATATATAGATAGATAGATGGATAGATTAATAAAATAAGATCAAAATTTCTAAAAAGAAAAAACAAATGTAAAATAAACAGAATAAAGGAACTATTTGTTGACATTATTTACTGTATTAATATTATTCCCAAAATAAAATATATAACATCTTAATGACACTATTTTATTTACTCAAAGTTGATAATTCCGTCTATATATAATCTAATAATAATAATAATAATAATGCAACATAGGTCAATTGTGGACTATGTACGTCGTGGTAGGTCGTAGACTACACCCGGTCCCCATACCAACACCACTACTCTATTACTAAGAGGACAACCCTAACCAGAGTCACTTCAGGAAGGTCATAAATTTGAGGTCTATATGTTAATTCCAATGTCACTCAGAGGGTAAACAGGAATGGACCTCCCATAGCCGGGGGAGAGTAGTGAGAAGAGAGGGAGGATGATTGAGAAGAGAGGGAGAATGAGTGAGAAAGAGGAGAGGAGGATGAGTAACAAGAGAGCGAGGTTGAGTGAAAAGAGGGAGGATGAGTGAGAAGAAAGGGAGGATGAGTGAGAAGAGGGAGGATGAGTGAGAAGAAATGGAGGATGAGTGAAAAGAGAGGGAGGATGAGTAAGAAGAGAGGGATGATGAGTGAGAAGAGAGGAAGGATGAGTAAGAAGACAGGGAGGATGAGTGAAAAGAGGGAGGATGAGTGAGAAGAGATGGAGGATGAGTGAAAAGAGGGAGGATAAGTGAGAAGAGAGGTAGGATGAGTGAGAAGAGAGGGAGGATGATTGAGAGAGAGGGAGGTGAGGTGAGACGAGAGGGAGGATGAGTAAGAAGACAGGGAGGATGAGTGAGAAGAGAGGAAGGATGAGTAAGAAGACAGGGAGGATGAGTGAAAGAGGGAGGATGAGTGAGATGGAGGATGAGTGAAAAGAGGGAGGATAAGTGAGAGAGGTAGGATAGGTGAAGAGGAGGATGATTGAGAAGGAGGGAGGTGAGTGAGAGAGAGGATGAGAAGTGAGGAGGTGAGTGAAAAGAGGGAGGATGAGTGAAAAATGGAGGATGAGTGAAAAGAGAGGGAGGATGAGTAAGAAGAGGGATGATGAGTGAGAAGAGGGAGGATGAGTAAGAAGAGAGGGATGATGAGTAGAAAGAGGGAGGATGAGTAAGAAGACAGGGAAGATGAGTGAGAACAGAGGAAGGATGAGTAACAAGACAGGAGGATGAGTGAAGAGGGAGGATGAGTGAGAGAAGAGGGAGGATGAGTGAAGAGAGGGAGGATGAGTGAGAAGAGGAAGGATGAGTGAAGGGAGGAGGAAGAAGAGGAGGATGAGTGAGAAGAGAGGGAGGATGAGTGAGAAGAGAGGAGGATGAGTGAGAAGAGGATGAGAGAAGAAAGGAGGATGAGTAAGAAGAGAGGGAGGATGAGTGAAAGAGAAATGGGAGGATGGAGTGAAAGAGGGAGGATGAGTAAGAAGAGAGGGATGATGAGTGAGAAGGGAGGATGAGTAAGAAGGGATGATGAGGAGAAGGAGGATGAGTAAGAAGACAGGGAGGATGAGTGAAAAGAGGGAGGATGAGTGAGAAGAGAGGGTAGGATAGGTGAAAAAGAGGGAGGATGAGTAAGAAGAGAGGGATGATGAGTGGGGAACAGAGGATGAGTAAGAAGACAGGGAGGATGAGTGAAAGAGGAGGATGAGTGAGAGAGAGGGAGGATGAGTGAAGAGAGGGAGGATGAGTGAGAAGAGAGGTGGGATGGGTGAAAAGGGAGGATGAGTAAGAAGAGAGGGAGGATGAGTGAAAAGAGAGGATGAGTGAGAAAGAGGTAGGATGAGTGAAAAGGGAGGATGAGTAAGAAGAGAGGATGATGAGTGAGAACAGAGGAGAGGATGAGTAAGAAGACAGGGAGGATGAGTGAAAGAGGGAGGATGGGTGAGGAAGAGAGGGGAGGATGAGTGAGAAGAGAGGGAGGGTGAGTGAGAAGAGAGGGAGGATGGTGAGAAGAGGAGAGGGAGGATGAGTGAGAAGAGAGGGAGGATGAGTGAGAAGAGAGGAGGATGAGTGAAGAGAGGATGAGAGAAGAGAAGGAGGATGAGTAAGAGAGGGAGGATGAGTGAAAGAAATGGAGGATGAGTGAAAGAGGAGGATGAGTAAGAGAGGGATGATGAGTGAGAAGAGGGAGGATGAGTAAGAAGAGGGATGATGGTGAGAAGAGGAGGATGAGTAAGAAGACAGGGAGGATGAGTGAAAAGAGGGAGGATGAGTGAGAGAGGGAGGATGAGTGAGAAGAGAGGGAGGATGAGTGAGAAGAGAGGGAGGATGAGTGAGAGGGAAGGTGAGGAGAAGAGAGGGAGGATGAGAGAGAAGAGAGGGAGGATGAGTAAGAAGAGAGGGAGGATGAGAGAAGGAGGATGAGTAAGAAGAGAGGGAGGATGAGTGAAAAGAGGGAGGATAAGTGAGAAGAGAGGAGGATGAGTGAAGAGAGGGAGGATGAGAGAGAAGAGAGGAGGATGAGTAGAAGAAGAGAGGGAGGATGAGAGAAGAAGGAGGATGAGTAAGAAGAGAGGGAGGATGAGTAAGAAGAAATGGAGGATGAGTGAGAAGAGAGGAGGATGAGTGAGAAAGAGGGAGAGGAGGAATAAGAGGAGAGGAGGATGAGTGAAAAGAGGGAGGATGAGTGAGAAGGGAGGTTGAGTGAAAAGAGGGAGGAGGTGAGTAAGAAGAGAGGGAGGAGGTGAGAAAGAGGAAGGATGAGTGAGAAGAGAGGGAAGAGAGAGAAAGAGAGGGAGGATGAGTGAGAAGAGGGAGGATGGTGAGAAGAGAAAGTAGGATGAGTGAGAGAAGAGAAGGATGAGTGAGAAGAGAGAGAGAGGATGAGTGAGAGAGGAGGATGAGTAAGAAGAGAGGGAGGATGGGTGAAAAGAGGGATAATGAGTGAGAAGAGAGGGAGGATGAGTGAGAAGAGAAGAAGGATAGTGAGAAAGAGAGAGGAGATGAGTGAAGAGAGAGGAGGATGAGTAAGAGGAGGATGGGTAAAAAGAGGAGGATGAGTGAGAAGAGAGGATGATGAGTAAGAAGAGAGGGAGAATGAGAGAAAAGAGACGGTAGATGAGAG